TTGGTGTACAAAAGGGGCAGATTTTGAGTGTGATGCTGCAACCATCAATTTGCCTTTTTGATACCATCCTGCAGGCTATGCAAATAGGTTTTAGTTCAATGTGTTATGTGAACATTGATTTAATTCAGAGAACCATGATTATTACAATTGTAAGTAACCATGTCATACAAATATTGGATAAATCTCCAAGGGAGATCCATAAATCCATCTGTATTTATAGTTGGATTTCTCCTGTTCTAGCTTAATGTCTTCACAGTACAGTATCATACTGGACATTTATTGATAAATATACAAATGATAGTTGATCATGAATAGAGGCAAGACAGATTTTTGAGAGAGAGAATGCCTCTTTAACAAGGGATCATAATCCAAAATTCTTGCACCAGAATTTGGACAGAAGTTGTAGAAAGAGTTTGTGTTGGTTAGGCTGTTGCATAAGGAGAGAAACTGAAACACTGAATGCTATAATTATCAGCCTTCTTAGGATGAAATTTATACCAGGTAACCTGAGGGGAGTGGGAGAAAGGTGAATGGGCTTGGGATCATAACATAGAGCCAGAGAGAGGAATGGCTTTAGCTCTTTATACTTATCATTGCTCTTAGAATCAGGCATCTCAACTCTGCTTTTTGGAAAAGGAAAGAAGCTCCCATTGGCATAAGAGACATGGACTTCTACTGTGGATAGAGGCTTGAATGGGGTTAAGAATAGAGCAAACTATTAAAATATTCTCTCTGTTTCGGCAGAGTTCCAATTTAGATTCTCCAGACATGCTAGTTAGAAAAATCAGTCTGCAGCAGTTTAAGCATAAAACAAAATATCAACAACAACATCATACAAATTATTGAACTGTATTTAAACCGCAAAGCCCAGTTGAAAATCCATAAACACCAACAATATCTGAATAATATAACTCTGTGTAGCTTTAAAATTTCAAACTCCATAAGCCATTACAGTAATAAAACAATTTTTTAAATTATTATTATTTTATTGTTCTTTTTCACATTTTATAAATCTTAATATTAATATTAACGGTACAGTGACATCATTATTACATATACCAATCTCATATAAAAATATACATTTATATATATTCATAAACATTTATCTATAATTTTCTTATCTCTGTTATCCTTATTTCTGTTGTTCAACCATTTATACCAATTGTCCCAAACTTCGTAATACTCCAACTCTTCTTTTTTTTTAAAACAAATTTTATTAATTTTAAAGACAAACAAATCATCATTGACCATTACATACTTAAACCTTTTTCCATTATAAATTTTACAAGTCAAATAAAACCTTATTTTATACAATATAATTCTATTTTAAACCATTTCCATATGAGCATACAATTTCTCTTTACTTCTCTTTACTCTTATTCAATTTCACTATTATTATTTCATCTATTTCTTTCTGACTTGGTTACCATTATTCTCATTCTATATTTCTGCAAGGTTTTATTAATTCTCCCAGAAACATAAACACACAACACACAAACATATAAAAAATCTTTTAGGAAAGTAACTTGGCCCCAGGTACCTCTCTCTACATGGACTTCAATTATATTCATGCTCATCTTACATGTCATTACCTATTTTATTTACCATTCTATGTCTTCTATATTAGCTTCTCCACACATTTCACTCTTCTTAATTCTATCTTATTTAATCCATCTTAATTTGAGTCATTATATTTGTATCTTTTGTCCATTCTTTATTATCCCTTTGTCTCATTCCTTATAATAAAAAAAAGGAATTTCTCCTGAAATCACTAATCAGAGTATGATGCCTTTCTATCTTCCCCCTAAATTAATTAGATTAACATTTAAAATAACACCTAATACCCAATTTGATTCTGCTTGGTACATTCTATCTATTAATTTTTTTTTTAATAAAAGAAAAATAATAAATCCAAAATGATTAAATACATAGTTAAATAATAGATCTAAATATTGAATCTTATAACATTCCCATTGCCTTTTCCAAAGACAAATCCTACAATAATAATTTTATAATAACATCAATACCATAGTCATATTAAACTCTTTAATTAAAACTCAATATTCTAAACATTCCCTTTAATATTTTATTAAATTTTAAAATCAATCATTACTAAACATTTCAACATTTTAATCTCTTATTAACTCTTAAACCATTCTAATAATACAAATGCTACAATACCATCTTATGTACCTTGCAAAATCTTTTTTAAAGAAATTATACTTTACCCTTTGTCCCTAAAAAAGATTCCTCTTTTCCCATCTAATTTCAAAACTTTGTGGCTTTTCTCCACCTTTTCCCTTTCTTTCTTCCCCCACCAGACCTTTCTACCCCCTCTTCTCCTAGCCTCTGCCTTACTGGCTTCCCTTCTCTGTTGTGTTCCTTTTTTCTTTTGTTTATATTGATTTTGCACCTTATTTTTCTCTTTCTTGAGTGTTTTTTTGAATCTTAAGTCCTTCATTTTCCTTCCTTTCTTTCTTCCTTCTTTCTTAGTTAAATTTTGAAATTCATTAAAGATGGCTTCTTCTTCTTCTTCTTCTTCTTCTTCTTCTTCTTCTTCTTCTTCTTTTTCTGCCTCCATCTGTTGTAGTATTTGTTGATAGGTAGCAAGCGCCATTTCTAAAAAAAGGAAGGCTTCTTTCACACCATCTTTGCCATCTTTTTTTGTTTGCTCATATTCTTTTCTCAGTTCCTCAGCAGAAAAAGCCATTATAAATCTTTTCTTTTCTTTTCTTTTTCCCCTCTTTCTTCTTGCAACAACCAAGATATTTCAAAAAAATAGAACAATCCCAAAGTCATCAATCAATCCAAGCCAAGACAAAGTTCTCACTTTCTCTTCCTGGGGTAGTATCAATCAAAAAAAGAAAGTCCAAATCTGTATCTTAAAGCCTTATTGCAATATATTTCAGTCTTCAAATCCTTAAGGCATCTCCTCCAACAAAATCTTAACATATAAATATATTTTTTGTCCTCTCCCTTCCCACATATCACATAAAGTCAGTTTTTACCTGAAAAAGACAGGTTTCTCAGTATCCACTTGTTGATTCCGTAGGGAAAGAGAGTAAACTTTCCTTTCAGCACCTCAAAATTGCCGCTTATTTTCTCTTCTGGAAAGTATCATTCAAAAAGCCATAATTTCCAGGAATTACGTTAAATATGTCTTAGAGTCCTGGGTCAACCAAGAAAAACTTTCACTCTCAAAGGCTTCTCCTCTTCCTCCTGCGCATTCTTACCCAGCTGCCGGCTTCTTTGTGGCGGCCATTGCGGACCGCCGCTGCACCGTCTTGGGAAAAGGGGGTTCTGCCGGCCGGGGAGGGGGTCTGCAACACCCCCAAACCCCTCTCCAGATCCCCCCTATCTTCAGCCGCCCCTGCAGGGCAGCCTTAGCTCCAAACCCGTCCGGATCGGAGCACCAAAAACAGCTAGCGCAGCAGGGATCGCGCAGTATTGCGAATCCCTGCCGCTCGTGAAGCCGACAAATACTCCAACTCTTCTTTATCCTTTAATTTTAGCATAACTTTATCCATTTCAGCACAATCTAAAAATTTTTGAATTACTAATTCCTCTGAGGGCGTGTTATTTTGTTTCCAACATTGTGCAAATGCTATTCTCGTTTCTATAAAACAAAATTTCTAAAGGTTAAAAATAGGCATTTAGCAAAGGAAGGGAGAAAAGATCTGCCCTTCAAAGGAAAAAAAAAAGTTTTGTGGCCCTGGTGCTATCACTGAGGAACCCCCTTCCAGATCTCAGGCAATCTGCCTTCTGACTCGGCACCTGCAAGAAGTTCAAAGACAATTGGCCATTCTGCTTTACAACATATGGAAAGAACCACTCCTTCAGATAGTCAGAGATTGAGTCATTTAGAGATTTCCATGCCCAAGCAAGCACCCAGAATTTAATATGAAAATTGATGAGCAACCCATGCAGTTTTGAGAGGACAGGTGTTACATGCTTCTGCTGGTTAATCTGAAGCCTGGCTGCCACATTATGTACCCACTTCAGTTTCCAAGTTTCCTTCTTTTAAGGGCATCCCCTATTATAATAAATTGATTACAAGCTATTCCATGAATAAGAGTAGACAAATTAGAGTTTTCCAAGAAAGGCTGGAGTTGGTGAGTCAATCACAGCTGAAAGATCCTGCCATAGATGAACCAATTCTATTTTTCAAGGTATACATTATGAAACAATTTGCTTTGGGAGTTATCCATGCCATTTACATTTTTTATGCTGTAAGGTTATTTTAGTGGTTTAATTGTTAGATTTTTATGTGTGGTTAGATATTTGCAAACCATGGTGAATGGCAAAATAGTTAGCATATCATATTTAAATGTATCAATATACAAGCCAATAATTAAGATCCAGCTCTTTCTTCAACTGTAATATTGTCTTATCAGTCTTATCTTTATACCTGCTTCTGGTTTTTAAGGGAAAGAATCAAATCAAACCTTATGATTAAGATAACAGTAGCCAAACCTTACATTATTGCTCAGCCTCAGTTCTTGTGTAAGTGCATCAAGAATTCTTTTGGCTTCTTCCTGGAAATGTAGAATATAGTAGCCTGGACTTCAATTTGCACAATCCCTGCTCTGCACTAAATCTAATATATGTAGTGGTTGGCATCAGGTCAGAGTAGAGAGACGATTACTTCTTTCACATGGATCATATATCTATTTGTGTCTGCATCCATTTCACTTCTGTTTGGTTAAAGTTGTGCAAAAAAAAAAAAGTTGAGCATGTGCTTCTGCTCAGAAAGCTTACCCAGAGACCTGTTGAGTTTGGGCGGTGTGTATAAGGGAAAGGGGTGGAGGGAGAAAGAAACAAAAGCACACCAACTTTTTGCACAGGCTGTGAATGGGACTCCTTGGTTGCTCAAGAGTTAATGTTTTCTGTCTTGCAATTTGTTTTCCTCTGCCAAAGTGGGTGTTGCTGGAATGTGTTTTGTAAAGGGGGTGGTGTTGGTGTTACTGAACTATCTTCTGAACAGGGACGATGTCAGTATCAAAAAGACTCAAAAGGGGGAGGTTTCCAAAAATAAAATTGCCCGTCCTATCCAGAGCCAGGCAGTGCAAGAGGCAAAGGAGAAGGTGCTTGGAGCTGTCTGCAAAGAATACCACGCACTCTGACAGCCACTGAGAGAAAACGCACTCTGACAGCCACTGAGAGAAAACGAAGGGAGAACTCTAAGGCAGGGAACTGTTGCTCCTGGTTCAGGAACTGTTGCTCCTGGCTCAGGAAGATTTGTGCTGTTGCTCCTTTGGGCCTTGCTTTTTCATCTAGATAAAAGGCATTACTGAAGCCTCTTTTGGATGTACCTGAAGATGTGATTGGCTCTGCAATGCACCAGAGGGATTTAGCTGAGGGGACTTTTCTCCAAAGTCCAATTGTATTTGGTGTATGACTCTATTAATCTGACAAGAGTTTTCCTCTTGGATGGAAACCATGAGGAGTTCCTGGAACAGTTTTCTCCCATTAACTATAGCACTTTTTGTGGGGGTTGTGGACTGTCAGAGAGACCTTGCTGGGCGGCTGGATCCATATCCTTCTTTCAGGACAGATGCTGGAAACAGGGAGATGACACAGTTAAGGTTTCAGCAGAACCAAGGCAGGTTTGGACCAAGAACTAAGGTGCACAGTTTGTTCCAGGTACATGATTCTTCTTCTACATTGGATCATGTTCCTGTAACTCCTCAGATAAATGCTGCAGCTAATGCCCGGATGAGAATTCCAGCAGGAAGGGAACTTCGAAAACAAAATTCTGCTCCCACAGCCCACAAACTCCCAACTCTCACCAGTGTGAGATCTCAGAGCATCAATCCCAGAAGGAACACTGGTGTTCTGAGTACAGGTCCAAGCTGGACTTTCCAGCAGAGAACACCATCCGTGAATCTTGTTCGGAATGGACCACGAACACGAGCAGCCCCACAAGTGCAGACTGCCAGAGGCCGGTTGGTAGGGTAAGTGCAACCAGCGTTCTCCAGTTGTCATATAAGTGGGAGATCTGAGCACTCTTTGCTTATCTCCATATCAGTTTTACACTTATATTTTGATTTTAGACCTGATCAGTTCAGAATCATCCAGGTACAAATGCAGCCTAGAAAATGCCAATTTACTTCACAAACAACATAGTCAAGAATACTGCTGCTGCTGAGGTCTCTGCAAGCCATCTGTTGTATCAGAATCTAAGTGATTTAAGCTTAAGCTGTTATCCACATTTGCAACTCATTTGGGACCAAAAAGGCAAATTAAACTGGGAGACCGTGAGTTCTAGTCCCACCTTAGACATGAAAGTCAGCTGGGTGACCTTGGACCAATCATACACTCTCAGCACAACTCACCTCACAGAGTTGTCGTTATGAGAAAAATAAAAGGAAGAAAGAGCATGAGATATGTTTGGTGCCTTGAATTGTTTATTAAAAATCATGACAGGCATAAATGGAAAAAATAAACATGAAGTATACAAGCACGCTCCATACTGCTGCCACAATTTAGCTATGAGAGGCCCAGTGATTCTTCTGCTTGAATAGAGCTGCTGTCAGCCACCCACCCATCCAAATTTTATTTTCTGTTGGTTGCTTCATGCAAATTTGGCATAAGGAGTACTTACAATTGGAATAAATGAGAGAGAAATTCCATGGTATATTATAATTGCATTATGGTTTGCAGTAGTAAACTAAGCCACACTGTACTGGGTTTAGTGGAATGGCCAAGTGTAGCTATGAATGAAATTTAAACAGAATGTGAATAGTGTTGGTAACCATGGTTTGTTGCTCAAATAAATCACAGTCTCATGTGTTATCTAGCATGAATGGATATATAGGTATACACCACTTCTCCTCTTGGCTTGCAGACATGCAGGCAGTGTGATGTATTAGTGTTGTTGTCTCTCTTATTATGGATTTGCCCTCTTTTTTAGGACTGAGGGGACAGAAGATTTTTGTCCCCTTCTGTTCTTGTTATTTGTTTATAGTCTTTCTTTCCCATAGTGCAGTGGCTAAATCTATATTTTACACTAAGCTAAGGTTTATTTTAATAATGGTTTGTTGAATAAACCACAGTTGGCTAGGTGTATATATCATGCTTACCATAAACTGTAGTTTACAAACCAAAATAATTATGTTCACAAGTTTGGCTAAATTAAATTTAAAAAGTCACTTATAGCACAGTCTTCCCCCACTCTGTTTGCTCTTGGATGCAAACTATTTATACCTATTGCTGGGAATTTGCAAAATTGAAGGTGGGATATTGGAGGATACCTCAATCAGGGAAGGCCAAGTTTGCATTGCAAGGATCAACAACTTTTTAAAGGTAGTAGCCATTACTGCTCAATTTCATCCAAGGTTTCTTCCAAGTCTAGGTTTTAAAAAGAAAAACAATGGTAAATAAACATGATACATGAATAAGCAAGCCACCTATAATATCTGGGGAGTACAGAGAGTTTTGTTACAGATAACAGATAACAGATATTCAGAGCTAAAAGGAACCTAGTACGTCATTTAGTCCAACCCCCCCCCCCCACCGCCCAAGCGGGAGACACCATTTCTGACAAATGGCAGTCCAATCTCTTCTTGAAAGTCTCAAGTGATGGCGCTCCCACAACTTCTGAGGGCAAGCTGTTCCATTGGTTGATTGTTCTCACTGTCAGAAAGTTTCTCCTTATTTCCAGGTTAAATCTCTCCTTGTTCAGTTTCCATCCATTATTCCTTGTCTGGCCTTCAGGTGCTTTAGAAAATAGCTTGACCCTTCCTGTCTGTGACAGCCCCTCAAATATTGGAAGACTGCTATCATGTGTCCCCTGGTCCTTCTCTTTACTAGACTAGCCATGCCCAGTTCCTGTAACCATTCTTTGTATGTGAGACACAGCTATCCGATTCATTATTTTAAATATTTTTAAAACATAATTTGAAAGTCAGGGGACCTAATTTAAGGGTTAACTGTACCTAAGATATAAAAATCTAGATGGGCAGTAGATGTCTAAAAAACAAATTTTTATAGCCCAGATGTGGTAGCTTGTATTTAAAGCTCGTGGAGAGATTAACAATAAATTAGGTGTAAATTTAAAAAGCATTTTTGAGAAAAAGAATGTTTTAGAAAAAACACATTCGTATAGAAAAGGAGTGCAAATGTCTTTATTTAATATTATCTAATATTAATGCCATCATAATAGTTCAGGATGCAAAGTCTCAAAGAATCTATTGGATTATCTTACCCAACGTTTCTCAACCTTGGCAACTTGAAGATTTGCAGGCTGGAGGATTCTGGTAGTTGAAGTCCACACATCTTAAATTTGCCAAGGTTGAGAAACACAGATGTCACCAGACAGAATAAAACAAAGCTCTTTTCACTGGGGCCCATTCAGTACATCTCAGGGGGAAATGTGGTCTGTCAGCGAAAACCAGGGGTGGGATTCAAATTTTTTAACAACCGGTTCTGTGGGCATGGCTTAGTTGGTGGGAGTGGCTTGGTGGTCATGTGACTGAGTGGACATGGCTTGATGGTCATGTTATTGGCTGGGCGTGGTCAACTCAATATCACTCACATCGAGGCATGCATCTCCTCACCTGGCCTTTCATGACTGTGGGGATGCTGCAACAGTCGTAAGTGTGAAAAATGGTCATAAGTCACTTTTTTCAGTGCCATTGTAACTTTGAATGGTCACTCCACACAAGCAAAGTACCAGCAAAGGAGGGGGGAAAAACTCCACAGAAGTTCCCGAGACAGGAAATCTAGTCCTGCCAAGTATGTAATAAGGATTAATGGAGAGGCAGTTTCTGTAAGCAACACCAGAATGTTTCCTTCCTGCCTTCCTTACAGGATTAAGCCAGTAATTTCTTCTAACAACTGATTCTCCGAACTGCTTAGAATGTTAACAACCGGTTCTAGCGAATAGGTGCGAACTGGTAGAATCCCACCCCTGGCGAAAACTATTTCCTTATGGAGGTGTTTTGATGTAATGTGTCATTGACGTTCTGATTGAGTATGAACCTCATGTGGGTTTAACAGCTGTTTTTAGAAACCTTGGATTTTACTATATGGAATTTACAAAAAACTAATTTTCATTGAATTTAAAGACAAATGTCGTAAAGGAAAACATAGATTCAAATTTATGTACCACGTATTGCACCAGATGGGGATCCCAAATCGATGGATCCAAGGATGCTCAGATCACGCCTGAAAGGGAATATGAATGAAGGAAAGTAAACCACTTTAATGTCCATTGCAGGAAGTGGCTATGCCTTTCTGCCATACATATAATCTGAGAATTATAGAAGGAAGAAACTATCAATTTCAGTTCTGTCCCATTTCTAACTTTTTCAATCTATTTAAGACCATATTTGTTTTGAAAAGTCCATACAAAAGTTATCTACATTTCCTGCAAATTTATAAGGAATCTATATCTTTATTATGACAGCCTACTATTTAATCAGCACTTATAACCACGATAAACTTTTTGAAAATGCTTTACCATGGCCCTCTTGCTAAGCTTGTGGACTGACCCAAATTCATTCTGTTGGCATTCATGCCTAAGGCAGGCTAGAACTTATGATCTCACAGCTTCTAGTCCAGTACCTTTAATCATTATACTTATAATCAGTCTTAATCTAAGTCATCTGACTGTTTCATTCATATTTGGAAAAGCTAATTGCACCAAATTGTTTTTATTTTAAAAATAATAGCTAAATAGAAGAGAATAGAACCTATGGTGTAGGGAGGGGGAATTCATATTTTTTTCTGCACCATAATCATAACAAAACTATGTTACTGCACTAATCTTGATATTTTAATCCTGGTTCGTTAAACCACAGTAACAATTTCATATATAATGCTAAGCTGTAAATTGACACTTACAAACTACAGTACATGGTTTGGTTTACCCTTTATACAAAACCAGAATGAAACAAACAGCACAATGTGTGCAGCATATGAATCCAGCCAATGTCATCTTCACAAATGTCCCTCAGCTTCAATGCTCTTCAATTGTATGTCTGATAATCCTAGTTTCTTACCGGTACATCAGTTTACAGAAATATATTCAGAAACCAAGAGTCCACTTTGTGGACCAAACTAGTCATATTTACCAATTTGTAAAATTGGGTCAGCTGCTCAATCAACCTAAATAAATGTATAGTATAGGCTGCCATGGGGCCATAGCTCTTCATCCACTTCTTTCCGTGCAAGCCTAATTTGTAAGTATTTAAAAAATGGAACCGTCTCTCTCCTCCCTTCCCCCAAAAGGACTAGGAAGCTGTTTCATCTGGAAAAGCACAGGTGGGTAGGAGCTGTTCCATTCCCAACTTTGGAAGAACAATTGGAACCAGGTGGAACTTTGCTGTCTTGCCATCTGTACTGCTAAGCAGACATTCGGAGACGAACATGCCACAAAGGCAGCTCATCTTGTTAACTTCTTCTAGGAGCATCACCCTTCTTTAAGCTGTAAACATGTGGTGATCCTCAAAGCAGCAGGAATTTATTTTGCATTCTTTCTGAGGCAACAAAAACCATACACTGTTCAAGTGATTCAAACGTTGAGAAAATTATTTAACTGCAACCAGATGCTCAGAAGGTTGGTGTAGTAGAGGAAAACCAACATTTGTTTTAGTTTTCCCTGGATTTCAGCATAGCCCCAGTCTCAGAGCCCTGTTAAAATTCTCCACCAGAAATGGAAAAGTCCTTTGCTCTCCACCCTCAGCAAAATGGACCTTTCCTTTTCTTCTAGTCAATAGTAGTCCAGATCACATAGTTCTCTAATTTGGAACTCTGGTGGAGCAGTTTCATGCATGGTGCATTTTGGAAAACCACTTAAGGTTTTTGAAGATTTATATGAATATGTACTTTGTAAATGAAAAACATTTCATTTGGATATATGTCTATGTTTTATTGGGTTTATTTGTTAGTCAGGGCTAGAAATTGAGTAGAAAGGCAAGTATAACTGGAATAAATAATGTAAGAAAGCTAAATTTCAGACTTCATCCAGACTTCATTTAAACGTTTGCCTTTACTCTGGAGCTGCTACATTTATAGCTAGAATTTTAATAATTATATATATAATGGCAATGGGTACAGCTCTTTGGCATTCAATATTAAAAATACATGTAGGCATTCTTTCTTCAGTTGGGTAAAGATTTATTAAATTGTCATCTCTCTGTATGAATCACTATTCCTTATTGAAATAAGAAGTACATTTAGCATGATTTACTTTTATATGCTAGTTTTGCTTTTTATTATTCTAAAAAAATTGAATTATTGTCAGGTTTGTGCGCTTCCAGCTTTAATTCAGAAAAAATATGACAAGTCACCAGAAAATTATGAAAATACTGTTCTAAGATAAAATCTTACCAATGAAAACCCAATCTGTAAGTGTGTTTAATGCTAAAGAGAATAATTAGGTTTTAGCAATGTAGTTTTCCTTTCAATGAGCATGAAGGGTTAGTACATTTGCCAAAATTCTGGAGTTTATTCCCTTTGGAACATAAAGTCTTTAGCATGAAGTCAGCAGGAGTTGACTTCTTTATTCAAGGGTTTTAATTTTTATTTAACTTGATGTACTGCCAATGTCTCTCAGTGGTTTACAACTAGGTCTGTTTTCTGGGCAGGGTGAATGGTGCTGCCTATGGAAATCTGTCAGATTATGCCAACAATCTGAGTTAGAATGAAAAGTGTTTTCTTCCTTTGTAAGTCATTTGTTACAAATTTATAACAATCAAAGTAGCAAATCCAACATGAATAGGAGGCTATGGTTGGTTAGTGTAGTATGGTGGTCAATATGCTGGACAGACTCAGCTTTTAGTTTGCTCTTAGGCATGGACACTTACTGGGAAAACTTTGAACCAATGACTCGCTCTCAACCCAAGCTCTGTGTCTTGTCTGGTACGAAAGATGGACATAGTAATTTTAAGATAGATAACTTCAACTCTCAGAACTCTTCAGCCAGCATGGGTTTGAAAAACACTGCTTTATGATATGGTCATGCCAGCAGGCATCTAAAGGAGAAAAATGATGGATTCATACATTGGACTTGTTAGAGATATACACCCTAGCAGAACCTGCAGGGCAGTCAGGCAGGCAGGCAAATATGTGAGATAAATGTTCTTGTAGCTTACACTCAGTAAAACAGATACAATGTGCTAGTTAAATAGTTTATTCCAGTAAGATTTATAGCATAGTCAAACAGTCCATATATCATACACTTAGTTCAGTCCGTCCGGGGATTAATCAGTTGCAAAGTCCAGTGTCGAAAAAGAGGTCAGTAAACTTACAAATATCAGTCCTGTAATATATCTCTTCGCAGTTAGAGATTTGAAGAAGTCAAACCTCTTTTCTTCCTTCAGCAACAGCAAAGAACACGCAGTTAACAATCCATCATCGTCAGCAAGCAATCCAGTAAGCCAGTAATCAATCAAGTTCTCTTGCTCCCTCTTATGGCGATTTACAGCCGCACCCAAAATTACATGCTTTGCAGTTAAAATGACACACACTTAAACTCACTATCATAGTTTATATATATTATTTTACCCAAACTACATTAAGTAACCATGTTATTCCTAACAGGACTAAGCCAAAGTTTGATTAGTTTTGACTATGCACAGTATTTCTCAAACTGTGGTCACCCACAATTATAAAATGGGGGGATTTACAAGCATCAAACTTGAAAGAGAAGAAAGACTGAGATTGTTAATCTCAATGCAGGTGCACCAAGAGACAAAATATTGCAACCTGACAGAGTTTTCCAAACCATAGCATTTTAATAACTGCAGCATTTTAAGTATTTTTTTTTAAAAAAATTTCTCTTTCTCAGATGGCAATAGTTAAGACACATTTGAGGGTAATGATACTTTTCTCCTTTACGGAAACAGGAAACTTTCTTTATCATTACCTTATTCTTTTAATAAAACAAATAGAAAGTTGTCATGCTATAAAATAAGGCATGTACCTTTACTAACATCTCATTTGAAGCAAAATTTCTGGCCAAACAATGTTCTCAGCAGGATGGTTGAGAGCATCTTTGAGAAATTAATTTGTGGGATATACTAATTGTGCAAATGCCAATTCAAATTTATAACAGAATTCCAAATTATGATTTGATTCAGAATATCAGATCAACTTGGATTCAAAAAAAACAACAATTCTCTACACAGGCAAAATTGCTGGAATATTCCAAACCAGTCCAAAGGATCCTGTTGATTTCAGCATTCAAACTGATTCCCTCATTCAGTGCAGAAAGTAGTTTTCAAAAATACTCATAGCTGAATAGCTTGCTTTGTTTTCAGGAAGTTTCAGATTATTAAATCTTGTCATTTGTAACTGTTTAGACCAAATGTCTGTGGGGGACAATGCTGCTCAGGATGGACAACGGCTCCTAGAACAAATCGATGTATTAAACGTGAGTATAAAATTGTTACAACTGCTATTATCACAATTGCATATGAAATTGCACAATATTATACAAGGCATAAAATAAAAATCCCAGTTTCAAGGGGTTGGATAGTCTGGATGGGATAGAAGAAAGATGGCAGTACTTTTTGCAAGCCAAATATATTTGGAGTTTCCATGCTAGATAGAATTGGTCTCATAGAATGGTTTTTATCATACATGCTTTAGCATTGTCTGTTTGGAAGATACTTGAGAAAGTATATCCAGTGTTAGCAATAAAATTTTGCTTCATTTTGTGGACCTGATGGAGCTGAGTTTCTTGTAACCATGATGTTGCTTTTGAAATTTTACATAGATTCCAGATTAGCTTTGGCTATGTTATGATTATTATTATGAGGTACAAAACTTTTTGTGATGGCACTGCAGCATTCCTAGGAATTTTAGTGGCTGTACCTGGTGGAGATTTACATACTACTACCTTATCAGTGAACTGTCCTGGCTAGATCAGTTCACACCTAAACTAAAATTCGCATTCAAAAACACAAAAGTGTAACCATGCTAAGCATGATTTTCAGGCAGGAATTGGTACATAATTGAATTTAGTAATGATACTTCTTGGCTATGTTTGCACAAAGTACTTAAACAGGTCAGTTAAAAATGTAGCAGCAGCACTGCAGAGCAAAGTTTGACTTATACCTTTAGTTAATTTTTTTTTTTGCTGTTTAAATCTAATCCTTTTTTATCAGTTTAAATCATGGGTGTCAAACTCATTCACGTCATGGGCTGGATCGTGATGTATCGCAATGTTTTTTGCCTTTGTGGAGCTGTGGTGGATATGCCCTGTGTGTATTGTATCTGGCCTGTGGGCTGCCAGTTTGACAGGCTTGCTTTAAATTCTGTTCCATTGCATAAACACAAATATCTTTCTAAACAAATTAAGTACAGCTGGTCCTCAAGTTATGACCATAATGAGGTCTGCCCATTATGATTATATAATGGCCGTAAAACCATTTTATGATGTTTTTACAGTGGTCATTAAGCAAACACGTAGTTCACTATGGGCATGGTTTTTCTGAAAATTGGAAGTGCTGGGTTTTAGCGAAATCCTCATAATGTGACCGCAGAATGCTGCAGATGGCTGTAAATGCAGATATGCTGCTGAGTGCCTCATCTCAGTATTTTGGATCCAGGTCATAAGCCTCCTTTTTCAGGTGGGTCATAACTTCAAACAGTTACTAAGCAACCAGGAGACTGGAGGCTAAAACATATGAAGAACGGTTGCTATAACTGGGTATGTCTAGTTTGATGAAAAGTAGGACTAGGGGTGACATGATAGCAGTGTTCCAATATCTCAGGGGCTGCCACAAAGAAGAGGGAGTCAAGCTATTCTCCAAAGCACCTGAAGGCAGGACAAGAAGCAACAGGTGGAAACTAATCAAGGAGAGAAGCAACCTAGAACTAAGGAGAAATTTCCTGACAGAACAATTAATCAATGGAACAACTTGCCTCCAGAAGTTGTGAATGCTCCAACACTGGAAGTTTTAAAGAAGAGATAGGACAATCATTTGTCTGAAATAACATATGCTTTCCTGCCTGAGCAGGGAGTAGAAGACCTCCAAGGTCCTTCAAACTCTGTTATTCAGTAGTAAGGATTACTAGTATGTGAATACAGTTAAGGAGTACCAGTATGTGAGTACAGCTACTGTCTACCTTTTGTAGTTTCCTGCTTACATGAATTTCAAATCACAGATACTGCCAATGGGAAGAAAATAATACGGTTTATGTGAAGAAAGATGCAGTCATATCAACAGTTTTTCAATAAAGTTATGATTCTGATTAGCTCCATAACAAGTGGACAATTAACAATTATCACATTAAAATCGGTGAAAATAGTGAAGCAGCATTTTTCATGACTCAGACCATACTCAGGGGATAAAATAAAACATTTTTAAAGAAGTTGTCAGGCAATTACTTTCCAAGGATTGAACTCTTAAAGAGGTTCAGTCTAGAGGGCTTACTCTAAAGCTGAATGGTGCTAAATATCTCCACTTTGTAGCTTCCATTAGACTCTCCCTATGGAACCGTTTTCCACTCTTAGGTTATTACTTCACCTATTCCTTTTTAAGTTTTAAACATGGGATCTTGTAAACTAGAACCTCCTGCTAGGCCATTTACTTCTGCTATATTAATCAGGAAGGGAAAAGTATGGAGTGATTTACAGGGAAATAGGCCCATAAGGAGATGCTGATGAAATCATTAACCATATGGAATAGAATTGGGGATGCAGTTAATTACACCACAAATCAGAGCAACTTGTCCATTATTAGTTCATTGTTCTAATCTCTGCATCCAGTCATGCTTTTAACTTTCCACACTCAGCAGTCCTCTAAGTCACAGTGGAACAGTAAAGAAGCGCTTGATTTCTCTAGTGTTTCTAGCCAGGACTTGCTGTTTGCAAAGGCCATAGTTTCTCTGCAGTGTAATAAGTCAGAACAGCTACAATCTCCAGTCCAGTTTGAGGTTTCTGAATTACCTTTGTATTACTTTTTCTTTCAGCTCAACTAAAGAAAAAACAGTTAGCTACCTGTAAATATAGATTGTAGTTGCATTATTTGAGATCCTCGGGTATGTTCTTATGAACAGTAGTTTGTAGATTTGGCTATGTTTATTATACAGTAAAATATGTACCATCATACTCCTTATCAGGGGATGCTGTAAGATGCAAAGTCACATTCACTATATTTGTTCATACCTCTCTATATGTCAGACCAAACTAGAAAACTAGGTCATGCACACCCATATACTTTTATTATTTTATAATATTAAAGTAACAAAATCTTGCAAGTTTAAATGTGCTTTCCCAATCCCACTTTATCTTCATGAGAATTTGGTGGGGTCTTGTCTGAGTTGTTTTCTAGATTACAGTTCTGCCCTGGACTTGAGTTTCCTTCATCTGATCATTCCTTCATCTGATCATTTCTTCCACCTGTTCCTGAAGAATATTCCTTCTGCCTATTATTCTCCCCTTGCAGACCGTATTGATTCAATCTATCCATAACTTATGCAGATGGTTATGCATACATCAGTTTTTGTTCTTTAAACACTTCTTCTCTTAATAATCTCAGTTCCATCTAATGTCTTTCAATTCTACTCTTTGATATATCACTATCATGCATGTCTGTACGTTGTTCTTTTGATTTCATGTCAAATTAATCACATTTATTCAATCCACTTAATATTTTTATTTGACTAAATTAAAATTCATAAATAGTGTGACAAGCTTTTAAAGATCTACAAAAATTCTAAATCAGAAACATGTTCAACAAAGCATTAAAATGACAGGGAGAACTTTTACTATCAAAGCCTGAAGTAATGATTTTCATCATGATCCTAAAATAAGATGTGGGACAAAGTTGCAGGTATGTTCTAAATAATTGAAAAGCTTGCATGCTATTTTCAGAATTTGAGTTAGCTTAATAAAGGTGTTGCTCTAATATAGACTTTGAAATATTATCTATTCCACATATATAGTACAAATAACAATTGTGTTGTTTTTACTGATTAGTAAAGTTGCATAAATAAATATTCCTAAAAGGCTCCAGCTGGTTCCCAAGACACCTTAAATATAAACTCTTTGAAGTATTACAGCAGTTACCAGGCTCCTTAGCACAAACATAGCAAGAATATGGCTAGATGAGAATTTAATACATAAAAGTATTAAAGTTGATTTTCTTTTGTCAATACAGTATAAAGTGATTTTTTGCCCTTATAACTGTAATAATTAATTATGGCACTTCATTTCTCTGCCTTTTCCATGGTTTAATGGAAACATTGCTTTGTATATTTCCAATTTGGACCTAAGCAATAAAGGAGGAAGAACGTACAGTAACTTAGACTATAAAGGGGCCCATTTGACTTTCATCTATATGACTATCCTCTATCCTCTTTAACTATCCGATGAACTATAGTGAGGGCTGAATATTGTGCTTGCTGCTTGAAATAATAAGAGCCTCTTAACACTTAACTATATTCCTTTTCTTTTTTTCTCTCTGATCTCATCGTTCTTTCTCCTCTTGTCTTTTAATAAACCTTTTGAACTGTGTTTCTTCGTAGTTGTTGCTTCTCAAAATCTTGGCTGATTAAAGTCTTCCACTTGCTCCGGATGTGCCAAAGCTTACGCCAGAGAATTGCCAATTCCACCTTTTACAAGCAGGAGTCCAAGAATTAACAATGCGTCCAGGGGAAGGTGGGAGAATGGGCTCTTATCCTCCCTGGCAAAGCTGCTCCTGAATGTTATTGTCAGGAGATTAGGAAACAAGTTATAGGCAGTACAGGGGATTGGGGGAACTGTAATGAGATTAGAAATTGTTATTGATTAAACCTTTATAATTAGCTATTAAGGTTTCAGATTTCCCACCAGGATAGTGCCTGGCAACTGCTTAAGGAAAAGAGAGAATATTGTAATTTTATGGAAACTGACTCAACTATTTTTCAAATGTATAGGAATTGAAGTGAAATTTGTGGTGTGGGTTTGAATACAAATAGTGCGTACAGAAATATACGTGTATCTGGGGGAAATAAATGTACAAAATATACTATGGCATATACGGGAAAGGTGTTTGTGCAAAATGTCTATAGAGTTATAATGATTTGTAGATACATTTTCACTTGACCTTAAAAAAAGGCAAATGCTTCCACTGATGTGAAAATGAATTGGAAAATGAAAGAAACTAACAATGCCTCACTAATGACTTATAGCAGCGGGTAATGAAGCCAGATAATTATTTGAAAGTCTCATTTCCTTGAGATTCCAATAATCCTTCCAATAATCCTTGTTGATACAAACTAAATACGTGATGCATTTACAGCATTGCCAAATATGTCTTCCTGTATAATATTTGTCCAACACAAACGGCGTACCTTTTAAATAATCAAACTCCCTGGGGTCCCTCTGTTTCGGTAATTCTTGAGAGAAAAAGATAGCAGTGAGTGCAATTGTCCACTGTACTA